CTTTTTGGTAAATAAAATTATATAAATCATCATAAATCCAAGTTACAATGTCTGAAAATTCTTCTTTCAGTATTGCTTGAATTGTAGGAATATTACAACCAGTATGACGAAGAAGTAAAATTCTTTCTTGAATTTCAATTGGAATTATCCTTTCTTTAGACATAAATTTGCGAAAAATTCTAGAAACCATAGAATGGTTGTATTCTAATTGTACAGAAATTAGGTACCAAAGTCCATTACTGGAATTAAGTAAAGCATAAACTCTAAATTCATAATTATAACGTTGTGAAATGCAGTTTCTTTTATTTGGACTATTTAAATTTTTGTCAGAAAAACCTTCTCTATTATAAACTATTGTTCTTTTATGTATTTGACCCATAATATTCTTCTCAATTTTTCCTAAACAAACTTGAAAGCTTTGTTGTTTTGCATATATTTTAACTGCTATAATAAAATTTCTTCAGAAGAATAAGTATCACCTTCGTTAAGTTTAATATTAGGAATTTCACTATTAAAAGTATCTTCAGAAAACTTAGAAAATACTGGATCATGGTCATAAGTTTCTTGAAAATTTTCTTCCATTTCAAAGTATTGAAATTGTGTGCAAAGGCAGTGTGAAAAAAAGTAGTATATATCATATACAAGATAATTGATAATCATTATTTATTATGACGTAAGTAATAATGCGCTATGGTGTAATGTGTAATCATAGATCAGGATCAGCCAATCACAGAGGAAAGGTCTAGGATAAATACCTAGACCCCTAGTGCAGGTTAAGATTCCCATTATTTCTATCTGAAGTTTAAATATTCACCTGCACATGACTTATAATTTTGGGCAAAATTAGTTAGCCTAATTATCAGGCTGAATCAAAATTTTGGTTGATATTCACCGATTTACAGATTTTAAGATTATTATGACAATACTGGTTAATTAAGTGACAATCTTGTAGCAGATACCCATAAAAACAAAAATAATATATGAAAACCTATTATTTGTAGTAAAACGCATTGGTATATTTATTGTCAATTACATATTAAAATTTATAAGATTTGTAAAATAACAAATTTATTAAATGGTTTTCTTTTTTTAATAGTAGCAAAGAAACTTAAGTTCATGATTTTAATTGTGATTTTGTCAAAGTTAACACTGTGATATTTGAAATAAATACTCTTTGTTTATTATAGTTATTAATAATCTATCAGCATATTAACACCTGCTATAGTCTTTCACCAGATGTCTTCTTTTTATGTATTATTTGTAACAAACATTTCAAAACTTTACAAGTTTTACTGTAGCATATTCAAATTGTATAACAATATAATCAATGTCAACAAGACCTTAATGAACTTTTAGCTAATACCATCATTAAATTTAAAGAAATCTTAGTTATAAAAAATATATAAATGATTGGTTTTAAATTTCAAATCTATAGAAAGAAGTTAGTATTTATACTGTATTCTGAAAGTCTTTTTTTCTATTTTTGCTGGTCATATTTATTATTATTCTAAAAAAAGTTAATTACAGATGTACTTTTCAAGGTAATAGTATATCAAACTTTGAGTGAAATTTTAAATTTAAATTAATGGAAAAAAATTCATTTACAAAATCAAGAAACATATGTAGTATGTAAAGCTTCGAACGGTTCAATTAATTCAAAAATTTTCAGTTCAGATCAACTTCAGTTCAGTTTTAGATTGCAAAATATTCAATCTGAAAATTTTCAGTTCAATTCAGATTTTTTTCGAATTATAAATCTAATCCAAACTGAACTGAACTGAAAATTTCAGATTA